ATGCATGCATCGGGTATATAGAATCTTGTTGATTATATCTGTGACAGTAGCAAGTGTAGAAAGAAATTTTTCAAAACTGAAACTTATAAACATTTTTACGATCAATCATGTATACAAAAGGTTGAATGTATGAGCTATGTTATCAATTGAGATGGAATTTATTAAAAACCTATATTATGCCTAGGGATGGACCGGTTCCGGTTCAACCGGCCCGAGGACCGGCTCGGACCGGTACTGTTTAGAACCGACCCGGCCCGCCTATCGGACCTGGGACCGGTCCGAGTGGCCCGACCCGGGGATAGTTAGGAGCGGGCTCCGGTGCTGGCAAAATAGGAACCGGCCCACCCAGTCCGGGCCCGATCCGGGCCTTAACGGCTCTATTTTATTTTTTTTTATAAAATAAATTAAGCCCTCCTAGCTGTTGGGAAAAGTCCCAAATGGTTGTATAGCCGTTGGGGCTTGGAGGGGGTGGGGGTCCTGGGGGTTTGGGGGGGTGGGGTGGGGGTGGGTGGGGTGGGGGTACACAAATTTCTATATATACTCCTATTTTCTATACATTTTTCTACACCTCTTCTCCAACTATTCCTACTCTCTATTCTATAATATTCTCTAATACTCTTAATCATCTCATCTTCATCTTATTCAATTCTCTCTACCTATATTTATACAATTATTAATTTATTATATCTACTTATATACTCCATATTAATTATCTACTTTTAAATACATATATTATATTACTTATATTATTATCTACTTAATATATACTTATTATCTACTTAATGTTTAATTGATATCTACTTAATATCTAGTTGTTATATTATTGTTATTTACTTATATTTACATATTACATGTACTTAATATATATATATATATATATATATATATATATATATAGAATAGAGATCAAATACAAAGCCTTCTTAATTTACAAAGTACAAACTCATCTTGACCGTCCGATGAGTTGATCCAAAGGACATAAAGGCAAGGTGACATTTTTGTAATAAAACCCAACTTTTTAGGGTGCAACTCGTTGCACCTTAATGTGCAACTGTTATTTTTATGACTTTATATATATATATATATATATATATATATATATATATATATATATATATATATATATATATTAAAGTATTAGATATAAGTGTATTACTCATCTTATAGAAATATACTTATATATATTATATACTTCAAACATTATATTATATATTAGTTATACAATTATTATATCTATTTATATACTTATTATCTACTTATAAATACACATATTAAGTGTATGTGTGTGTGTGTTAAAGCATTAAATATAAGTGTACTACTCATCTTATAGTAGTATACTTATTTATATATTATATACTATGAACAATATATTATACATTAGTTACGCTTTAATTAATAGTAATTAAATTCATCCTATTACTTATACACTCACACTCCCATTAATTAGTATACACATTCATACATTTTTTCTATTAGTTACATTTTTTTTATTAATATTATTTAATTAGTTAATTGGTACATTTCTCATTAAAGTATAAAAAGTTGTTAATTGTTACATTTCTCATTTTCCTATTAGTTAATTAATTAATTGTTACATTTCTCATTTTCGTATTAGTTAATTAGTTAATTGTTACATTTGTCATTAAAGTATAAAACTAGTTAATAAAACAAAGTAGTTCGAATTTGTATTTCAAGAAGAAAAAAAGTTCGAATTTCTTTTAGTAAAATACTTCACATTTTATTTAGTTAGATTGAAGTATTTAGTAAAATAGTTGGGATTTTAATAAATTAAATACACTTGTAATTTTATTAAAGTACTTGGAAATTTGCTATAAATTTATTACTCACATTTTAATAAATAATCACATTTAGCACATTTATTACTATTGTACTCATATTAACATATTTGATAGAATTTAATATTTGTTACATTTTAAAGATGGACCGTGCTAGATATTATGTAGATATGTGTAACCTAGACCGCAACCAAAGGAAGGAGATTGGGAGGAATCATCCTCATTCACGCAAAGCTAAAGCACGGGCCGAATCTTCTTCTTAAAGCTGAGATGATTTTGAAATGGATTACCAACGGAGAGATGGAATGAGGATGTCGGACGAGCAACTACAAAACCTATTGTCCCAACAAGATGGCTGCTTTTTCCAACAACGTGACATCCCCGACATTGAAAAAGAGCTTGAGGATGAGGATGCGGAGGAGGAAGATCCGGTGACGGTCGAGGACGAGGGTCACGGCACCCCGGACGATGAGGAAGAGCTGGAGGACGAGGGTGGTTCATCCCAATCCAGAAGAAAGCTAAATCTCTCATTATGGAAAATAATTTTAAAAAGACGAAAGACAAACAAACCGAGAAATGGTACGCAAGTTGCAACCATTGCGGAAAAGTGTATTGCTTGGGAATTTAAGGCCAAGGCATACGGGAGTGCCGCAAGGCATCTTAAGGCCAAGCACCCTGTGGAGTATGGGAAAATAGACAAAGGCGAGGGGAAGCAAACACAAATATCGAGGTTTGCAACTGGCCAACCCTTTGGTAATTTATCCTATGATGATGATAAAAAACATTTGACCGGTATGTCTTATTTAATTGTTGAAGAAAATTTGCCTTTTATATTTTATGAAAGTCTTACTTTAAGAGAATATGCTCAAGGTACTTTAAATCCTCAATTTCGAAACTATTAGTCGCAAAACGATTAAAAAAGAAGTTATAAGGCAATATGGTTTGGAAAAAGAAAAATTACAAATATTTTTCGCAAACTTTGATGGACGTGTTAGTATTTGTAGTGATATATGGGAGGATATCCATCATCATTTATATTATTTGAGTTTGACTGCACATTATATTGATGATGATTGGCAAATGCATAAACGTGTTCTTGCTTTTCGTGAATTTAATGATCGACACACCGCTGATAATATTTATCTTCTCATTAAGCATATTTTAATTGAGTATAATTTGGTTGATAAGGTGTTTCCTGTGGGTTATGATAATGCTAGTAATAATACTGCTGCTATACCGAGATTGCGTGAATTGTGTGGTTTTTCTAGTTTGATGGGTAGTTTTTTCATCAGCGTTGTGCATGTCATATTTTCAATTTATGTGTAAAAGACGGGCTAGCCGCGTTAGGATCGGAAATGCTATGGAGGTAGTGAAGGGGGATTAGACTTATTTGGGCTAGTAATCAACTTAAGCAGCAATGACGTAATTATTTGAAGGAAAGATGTGTCAAATATCGTGCTTTTCCTAAAAATTTGTCTATTCGTTAGAGTAGTACTTATAACTTAATTGTTGTACTTATTAGATTTAAAGACAATTTTCTTGCTTTTTAAAAAGAATATGCTAACTACATCATAAACTCGGCTGACATCGACACTATGCAAAAAATTGTGAATGTTTTGGTATATTTTAATAATGCAACTCAAACATTTAGTCATGTTTATAAACGTACCGCTAACCAATTTTTTGTTGAAGCTGTTAATCTCGCCGACGCTTTTTGTGAATTTTCCGATGCCGCTTATGTTAATTATTTTTGTTCTGTCATGAAAGACAAGTTTTTAAATGATTATTCACATATTTCGCATACATATGGTATTGCATTTATTTTTTATCCTCGTTTTAGACTTGATGCTTTGGGAAATTGTTTAGATTACTATTATGCTTCTTTTTTTTGGTCAATTTCCTATGTACAACGATAAGGTCATTGACCCTAAACAAGAATACAGTGAGGTTAGTAATTTATTTCATCAATTATTTAATGAATTTTATGCACAATATGGTAACACATCCCCTCCCCCGACACAAACATCTTTCATCTAAAGGAAAATCATTTTTTAAATCTACATTTGGCAATCTTATGAAAAAAGTAAATCAACTCCTGTTACTAATTGTATCTAACATTTCCTGTTGATAATGAAGAAAAAGATGACTTTGACGTTCTAAAGTGGTGGAAGGAAAAAGAAAAAACGTTCTCGGTTTTATCAAAGATGGCTAAACAAGTGTTAGCAATGCCGGTATCAACAGTTGCCGTGGAACAAGAATTTAGTGCGCCCGGCAACGTCCTAACGGATTATAGAACGAGATTGATCGTAAGCTCTCTTGAGACGCTTGTTTGCTTCTACTATTGTTTGAAGGCCCAACGTAGAACTCAAGAATTGAACATCGCCCCCACTCGACACTTTAATGGAGGAAACAACCGAATATGGCGGAGATTCCCATTGAATATTATTTATTAGAAATTGTATTTCATGTATTAAATTTTTCTCAATTCTCAATTACATTTCATATTTCAAATAAATATATTTTAACTTTTTTATATCTAGCAATTCTTCAATTAATTTGTAAACAACAACAAAAAAGCCCGTAACCAACCCGACCCGTTACCCGGCCGGGTAGACCGGCCCGACCCGCCAGATACCCGTGCCAGTTCCGGGCCTAACATTTTAAAAAAAGTCCGTTTGGGCCGGCCCGGTACCCGGCCCGGCCCGGCCCGGTCCATCCCTATTTATGTCTAATTTTTTATTACTTTTGGAACTAAAATTATTCAATAAATTGAACTCAATTAGTTGTTTTAATATATCCAGGATCGTTATGAATAATGTAAAAATATTATTTAAGTAGTGAGTTTTTTGTGGTATTAATCTTACATTTCTTAATATGATATTTTAAACAAAGACCACGTATAGGAGCATTTTATAAAGTTTGACTCAAGGCCAAATTTGTGTAAGATCGGCACTCCTTGAAGAGAGGAATACAGACCAAAAAAAGCAAACCAACCAGATAAAACTATAGACCCGATAGAACCCAAATTAGAAAAAGAAAAGCCCCTGTCTAATTTGGAAATTGCGATTAATATGAGTACAGCCAAGGACAGAAGCTTTCTAATTTCAGAAAATTACCAAATCCTTCTACGAGCTATTAGAATTTCTCGACTGTATTAGTTAACATCCTAAATGAAGTGAAACTTACCTTTCCTTTTTACTGCATAATTCTTTCATACATTGGTATAAATATACGGCCGATTGTCGGGCAGATGATATCATTAATCCACAAATTACATCACAATAATCAACCTCATCTCTCACAGTCATGGAGGATTTTGAGTGCCACAAACACGCAATGCGAGCACGCTACCGGTTCGCGACCCCATGGCCGCGCCTCCAATCGCAATCACCGAACGACCTCCGGTTCGAGTTTTACTGGAAGACGATGCACCTCTATTACAGCTTCCCGGAGGACGGATCGCCGCCGCAGCTCGTCCGCACCTTCACCTATCCGTGGCGGGTCGTCTCCGACCACATTGACCGCCGCGCCTTCGCGGCGAACGACGATTACTCGCGGCTGGCGGTGATCCGCCTGCTCCAGCACTGCAAGTCGTGGTGGGACGGGAGCGTAGTCGACTGGATCGTATCGGTGGCGCGTCAGATTGTCGCGGCGAACGAGGGGTGCGGCACAGTGGTGCTCGGGATGGCAGGGGGTCGGGTCCACGCGTGCTACGAGAGCGTGTTGGTCAGCGGCGTATTGGGCCGGTCGTTCGAGGAGGGGAATGTGGGGATGCGGCCCGCTAGCAAGTGGGCTATTGATTCGCTGGAGAGAGTCTGTTTCGGCGAGGACGAGGAGGAGGAGGATTACGGCGGCGGCGGCGGGGAATTCCATTGTTCGGTGTGTATGGAAGATGAAGATCTGGGGTGGGCGTGCAGAGAAAAAGGGGTGTTGAAGATGCCCTGTTCTCATCTGTTTCATGGAGATTGTATCATTCGGTGGCTAAACGCCAGCCATTACTGCCCGAATTGCCGGTTTGAGATGCCAGTTCAGAGTATATTATACTCGTAATTTACAGTATCAGTGATTCAGTAGTTTTATAACAAATTTGTATTAGGTCGGTATATGGTAATTTAATACTATACATGGACGTCGTACTTATTATTTATCCAGCTCGATCAATCCAAGAAATCTGGGTATGGGACTTTGGGTCATAATCGAATTTGGTGTTTCAATTTCTTGCTGCCATGGATTTACGGTTACGTTGATTATGAAGATTTTGGATATTTTTTGTTGGTTTGTTTAATGGACTGGATAAGATTGGAACAAATGAGAACATACTTACAAGTGTTTGCCTTTGCTTTTGCTTAAAAAACGCTTTTTAAAGTGATTTTGTAAAAGCAATTAGTAGTAAAAGACTAAAAATTAATAGTGTTTGAGAAAAAACGATTTTAAAAAGTAAAAGGAAATAAAGACCTAAGTATTATTCCTGCGGTTGTAATGGACAGAAATATGAATGAAACGTGATTTGGACAAAAAGGGTACTAACGTGCTGATCAATTGACTAAACTACCCCTAAAGTTAATCAATTAGGTTTCCATCGTCTCTATGGGATGTGGACTGTTACATTGGAAATTGCACACTTTTGGTGTAATACTTTATTTTTCCTATTTATTTGTAATTTGTATAGATTAGGATTATTTCGGAGCCAATTTAACGTGCATGCAAAGATTTGGCAAAGATTTGTCTTTTACCCGATCGGGTAAATCAAAAACCCGGTCGGGTATAATGTGACAGATGAAGGTTCCAGGCACTCACTCAAGAAACCCGATCGGGTTTCTCAAAAACCCGGTCGGGTAAATGGCCCTGGCAGCTCCAAATACCTATAAATACACCCCCTTTCTTTCCCATTTGATCACCAACTCACATATACTCTTTAGCTCAGTTTAGATTAGTGTTTTCCTTATTTTTTTTATCATGTTTAGTCTCCAAATGAGGAGCTAAACTCTTCCATCTTGGTTTTGATACTTTGAAGCTTAATGAATTGTAAGTTGTGAGTTATTTTCTTTAATCTTCTTCCTTGAATATTAATTTTTCCCTTAATACTATTTCTATATTAATGTTGGGGAGTGTTGCTAATATGACAATTAGTTAACATCTCGACATTAGTTATAGTAGTATTTATTTTCTTCCTCTATATTAATGTTGGGGAGTGTTGCTAAGATGACAATTAGTTAACATCTTGACATTATTTATAGTAGGATTTATCTTCTTTAATATTCTTCCTTGAATATTAATTAATTCCTATTCATATTTCATATTAATATTTTGAGCATTACTTAAAGGATCAACTAATTTTGTTTCATATATTAATCAATACTAGAATCGATCAACGAATACGCTTGTTAATCGTTCGGTCTTTTCACGGTAGTAAACTTGGATTATTAATGCATGCGTCTCATGGTTAATAATCTAAGGGGAATTAATTATATTGATTAAACCAATAAATCGCTTGTGTTGAGGTTATCAATTTCAATCGTTTTCATCTTAAGTTTATTGCTACTATCGGGTTAATATAAGGCGCGTGTTCTATATTGACTCGGTAGTAAGTTTTATTAATGAACGCGTCTCGTTATTAATAACTACCCTCGATGAATTTGATATACTCATCGATTGAGTATTCGAGAGGAAGATAGTTAAAGATATAACCGGGATCGACGAACATTTCATTAAGTGGATAAAAGCAAAACCAAGTCCTCATCTCTATTAATTAAATTCATATAAGTCGTTCATCTTCGTATTTAATTAATTAAAATCAAACACATCTAAAACCCCCTTGTTACTATTTAATTAAAAAGAGAAATATTTCTTTCCCTGTGGATACGAACCTTACTACGCTAATACTATGTATAAGTGTTGTATTGATATTTATTTTGAGTGCACACCACGACAAAGTGCACGTCAACTCCTAACTGCAACAAAGTATCTTCGCTAATGCCTTGATATATGGATGCGAAAGCCACTTTATCCTTGCATGTTTCAACCGTCCCTTCAACCTCTATAGCATCTCATATCCCTTGGGCCATCATAAACACCTCCATTTTGATGGCCCAAACAACATAATTACACCTCGTGAGCATAGGATATATGAGAGAGAAGGTGTCAGTTTTTTCTTGTGATGAACTTCCTCCATCGTCCCCAGCCATGATGGATCGTCCTCCTGGTTATGCTCTGATACCAAATGTTAGATAAGCACTACGGGATATTCAATATTTATCAACTATCTAATTGCAGAACAATAGAATCAAAGCAAGAGATGATGATTTGCATCAAACAAGCTTTTCTTTTACTTATGGGAAAAAATCCAGTCTAAATCCAGATATAAAAAACCTCATACACACACCAACATATATAAGCGATAATAACCACCTCCCATAACCCACTCCTAAATTAGTGTATGCGTGGAGTTATGGTTTTCCTCACATGCACACGTACAAAATGAATTAAATAACAAATTAAAGACTCCCTAGAATAAAGGAAATAACTAACAGAATAATTTGAATAAACAAAACAAGCTTTAACGTTCACACTCATCAGCTCATCTCTGACAGCCATGGAGGATTTTGAGTGCCACAAACACTCAATGCGAGCACGCTATGGGGTCGCCACCCCACGCCTCCAATCGCCATCTCTGAACCTTAACGACCTCCGGTTCAAGTTTCACTGGAAGATGACACACCTCTATTATAGCTTCCCGGAGGACGGATCGCCGCGGCGGCTCGTCCACACCGTCACCGATCCATGGCAGGTCGTCTCCTACCACATTGATTGTCGCGCCTTCGCAATGAACAACGATTACTCGCGACTGGCGGTGATTCGCCTGCTCCAGCATGTTGGATTTGCTTTTCTCACGGAGAATGAATAAAGAACTAATCTAAATTCAAACAATTGGTAGAAACATATGCATGTATACGTTCATAAGAGCTAAACAAACTGTACGCGTGATTTTCTTTCTTTTTCCTTGTGATTAAAGTCTGTTAAACTTTTGAGTCACCCATTTCTCATTTATATAGCAACAACCATATTACAATGCAGTTACACATGCACACTACTTTGAACCCACACCCACTAACCCAGTACTCAAATATAACCCACGTATAATTAACACATGCATGACCATGCAATGTTTAATTCCACAAATTAATTAAACATGCATGCAATTGCCTAAGTGACCAACCCATGCAAATAACTAATCTAATAATCTAACAATAATAATAAGATTAGTTCTAACAGTCACCTCCCTAATCTTGTTATTACTTATTTCTCTCTTGAAGCCCATTGTCGTCGATCTCGTTGGTGCAGCATGTAGACGGCTGCCATTGCCATCTTCCCGTGCTGATTTGTCGATGTCGCTGTTGGCCTCGACGAGAGACGCACCTCCTACGCTTTCACCACGAGCGCGATGTCATGACACGCTTGCTGCCGCATGTTCGCCACCGGTGCCGCAACTCGCCGATGACCCGCTTTCATGGTCGCCACCGGTGACCCGCCATCATGTTGTCGTCGATGCCGCATCTTGTCGATGACTCACACATGGACAACGATATCTTCACGGCAATGGCCTCCGCACCTTGCCCATCACCTCGTTGCTGCCGGTGGCGCAACTTACCGGGCAACCTACCTTTCTCCGTCGTCGTGGCGCTACTTGACAACAATTGAGACTCGGACCTCGACAAAGGAGGCTCTGATACCAAATGTTGGATTTGCTTTGCACACGGAGAATGAATAATGAACTAATCTAAATTCAAACAATTGGTAGAAACATATGCATGTATACGTTCAAAAGAGCTAAACAAACTATACCCATTTCTCATTTATATAGCAATAACCGTATTAGAATGCAGTTACACATGCACACATTACTTTGAACCCACACCCAGTAACCCACTACTCAAATATAACCGACGTATAATTAATACATGCATGACCATTCAATGTTTAGTTCCACAAATTAATTAAACATGCATGCAATTACCTAATTGACCAACCCATGCAAATAACTAATCCAATAATCTAGCACTAATAACAAGATTAGTTCCAACATAGCACTGCAAGGTGTGGTGGGATGGGAATGTAGTCGATTGGATCGTATCGGTGACGCGTCAGATTCTCCCGGCGCACGAGGGGTGGGGGACGGGGCTGATTGGGATGGGAGGGGTCGGGTCCACGCGTGCTACGAGAGCGTGTTGGTCTGCGGCGTATTGGGCCGGTCGTTTGAGGAGGGGAATGTGGGGATACGGCTCGCTAGCAAGTGGGCTATTGATACGTTGGAGAGAGTCTGTTTTGGGGAGGAGGAGGATTATGGCGGCGGCGGGGAATTCCATTGTTCGGTACTTCGGTCAATTCGGTGTGTATGGAAGATGAAGATATGGATTGGGCGTGCAGAGAAAAAGGGGTGGTGAAGATGCCCCGTTCTCATTTGTTTCATGGAGACTGCATCATTTGGTAGCTAAACGCCAGCCATTACTACCCGAATTGCCGGTTTGAGATGCCGGTTCAGAGTATATTATACTCGTAATTTACTGTATCAGTGATTCAATAGTTTTATTACAAATTTGTATTAGGTCGATAGACAAAAGATCAGGTGAGAAGTGCCCCTTAATGAGATGTGAGAACTAATCATAGCCCTTGAATTTGCGTTTGATCTTACAACGCAGTAAAACTTATAGAGTAAATATAGTGACCGGGCTAAACTTGTAAGTGTACAAGTGCCGATATAGTAATAAATTCCGGTAAAATATTGGGTCGAATCCACAGGGAAACGTTGTTTAATTTAGTCCGAGAGTAGTTGACTTTAAATAAATAAACGAGTAAAGTGTAGGGATTTTGATTTGTGTGTTGTTGTGAAAACAACAACTTGGTTCTTCCTTTTTTAATTTTCAGGGATATTACTTTAATCAATTTGAGTTTAAGATGAATGATAATAATGGCTAAGGCTTCGGGAATCACTTAAATGCTTTCATAGGGTTGAATATTAGTTCTTTACCAATAATTATGAATACGACGTCGCTAATATATTCTCAACTCCGGTTAAGGCAGCGAGAGCGTGGTTTTCGTTACGTGTAAGTCCCGTTACGGCTTACATTCATCTACCGAAAACCCCGTTGAATATCAAGACATCACACCCGTATCATATAATACCGGATATATTTCTATTCTCGGTAATATATATGTTTATCCTTTAATGTTCATAGTTTAGACTTCAACGTCAATTGCAAGTATAAACTAAATTTAACATACTTCTATG